CGCAGGCCCCCCCCGACCGCGTCGAACTCATCGGCGCGGGCTCTCTCGGCTACGGGACCGGCCCCAGCTTCGGCTGAGGGCTGCCAAGCTGCCGAGCCCAAATCACTGTGAGAGTCGTGATTTCTTGTTGGTTTTCTAAAATCTCTCAGCGATTGTGGGGACTACACAGAGAGAGAGATTTTTAGACTACAAAATCCGTCGTCACATGAAGGGTAACTTTTTCCGTGGGGGGGGGGGGGGCGTATGGTGCCGTCGGCGGGAGGCTGGGTCTGTCAGCTGACGGGCGGGGGGTATGGTCTCGAGGTGGGTGGGTAGGTAGGTCGTGTAGGTAGGTAGGTAGAAAGGTAGAAAGGTAGAAAGGTAGAAAGGTGAATGTGGGGTACCCGCAAAAAGTCCGAACCTGGCTCTGCGCGCTTTGTTGGCCCACCGTTGGAATGCGATACGGTCTGGCTCGACTTCGCTGAGCAGCGCTGTAGTTCCCCGCCCTCTCACGCTCCGCCTCTCGCCTCGCCAGGCAAGTCCACCGGCGTGCACGCCATCGACCCGCATGCCCGCCGCAAGCAGGGCATGACCCTGAAGAAGGCGCAGCCGGGCGCCCCGTTCGGCTGGACCTCGGAGGGCACGCCGTATATCGGCACTCAGTACTGCGTCGACTTCCGCACGCCGACCGGCCGCCTCGCCTCGCTCTCCACCCGCAACGGAGGCGAAGCATACCACTGGCAGAGTCTCGGCGGCGTGTCCGCTAAGGTGGCCAGCTCCGCGCTCGAGACGCACGGCCGAATCGACCAGCTTATGGCAGGCGAGTCGGGCCGTCCCTGCGGCGAGATCCTGTCTGCGTCCGACCTGGCGACAGTGCGCGCCGCCTTTGTGCGTGTGTTGGGTGAGGAGGTCGTCCGGCAGTTTGAGGCTGCGGGCGAGGAGGCGGGTGAGGCCGAGGTTAAGAGCGAGGAGGCCAAGAGCGAGGCCAAGAGCGAGGTCAAGCGCGAGGTCAAGGCCGAGGCTGGCAAGGCCGAGGCTGGCCGAGAGGCCGAGACGGTCATGGACAAGAAGCGCAAGGCGCGGATGGTGCGTGCGCCCCGCTGCCTGCAGTGCCAACTGCTGCAGGGTGGACCTGACCATAGCGCCGCGTCCACAGGCACTCTCCGACGCGCGGCAAGCACGGAACCTCGAGGGCGAGGGCGAGGGACCCGGGTCCAAGCAGCCGAAATCAAAGCGGCCAAAGGCAGAGGCCTCGGGCGAGGCGGCACCCGTCGACTGAGGCCGAGGGAGGCGGCCAGCCGGTGGGGAGGGCGCTTGCATGTGGCACAGTACGCTTGAGCCGGTACGTGGGGCGCTCCGAGAGGCGCCGAGGGGCTACTGTGTTTATTGACATCATTGCTGACACAGGGTCAGGTGGACCACGCACGTACGTTCACCGACAGCGACACGCGCGCGCGCCGCGGGCCCAACACGCACCCCTGTCCGCAGTGACACAGTGACCTTGAGGCCCCCTGAGCCCTGTGCCCCTCCCCCGCCCGGACGCGGAGACACCAGACACGCCGGCCGCGCGGTCCGGCCGCCATGTGCCTGTGTATAACAACACTCAACAGAAAACGTCACATATCACAACGGCTCGGCGGCCCCTCTCGGGGCCCTCCTCTCCAACCGCGGGTCACACAAGTCACGGCTCGCCACGGACAGGACACCGCGAGGGATTTCGGGACCCTCGCGAGCCCCAGCAGCGCACCATGTCATGCGCTCCCACGCACGCAAAATCTCACAAAGACGGGGGCCCTCCCCCCTCCCTGCCCACCATGCCGGACACCGCCGCGCGCAAAGCTAGGGCTGCGGGCGGAGTCCCCCAAGAGAGACCCAGAGTACGGGAGGCCACAGAGAGCAGCCCCTCCGCCACAGCGAAGGGGGCCTCACCGGCCGCGCCTGCCCTTCCTCTGGCCCAGCACCTCCCCTCGAGCATCCGCCGCCGCCGACGGCGAGCTAGGCGCGGCTGGCGGCGGGGAGGGGAAGGAGGGCGAAGGAGCGCGCAAGCCGGGTATGGACAGGTCCTCGGTCAGGACAGGTCCTCGGCAACAAAGGCGTGGCGGACGCAAGTCGGCGACTCGGCGGGCGGCTGGCCGGCGAGCTTGGCGTGCGCGAGCGCCGGCTCGCTGTCCGCAAGGACCGTGCTCGCCTCTGACTCAGCCGTCGACTCGGCGTCGGAGGAGGACGTCTCGTCTGCGCAGGTGCCGACCGGGGGGAGGAGGAAAAACGAGAGGAAGGGGATGGGGCCGAAGGCGAGGATCGAGGCCCACGGCGCGGCGAAGTCGCCGTGCGCCGTGCCGAAGACGTGGTCGCACATCGGCGAGACGAACCCGTAGTTGAGCCACGGCGTCTTGTGGTGCTGGACGTGGAAGTCGCGGCAGGCGCCGAGCCACGCGGGCGGGTCAGCCTACAGGACGGTGCCAGGAGAGGGTCCAGGAGAGGTCTAGGAGAGGTCCAGGAGAGATCTAGCCATCAGGGCGAGTCCGCCTTGTGGGCGGTCTCGTGCGCGAACTCGAAGGCGAGGTAGCAAAAGGCGAGCCACGGGTAGAAGGGCGGGTAGCGGGACACGCCGAGGGCCGCGTGGACGGCGTAGACGAGCAGGCAGAGGGCGCCTGTCGGACGTGTCCGGGAAGTGTCGTGGAGGAGGCGGCACCGAGGGCGGGGAGCGGCTGGAGGTGCGGCTGGAGGTGCGGCTGGAGGTGCGGCTGGAGGTGCGGCTGGAGGTGCGGCGCCTCCGTAGAGCTGGATCATGCCGGCGGGGCTGCGGAGGTGCTTGTGGTCGTGCGGGCGGCGGTGGTGCGTCCAGTGCGTCGGGCGCAGCACGTGGTGCTGGAGGGCGCGGTGGTAGACGTACCTGGGGGGAGAGGGGGGTGGTGGGCTTCTATTTTTCGCTTTGTTTCTTCCTTACTTTATCTCTAATTTGTTCTATTTTTCCCCTCTTGTCCTATTCTTTCTTTTTTGTTTTATCCTGTTTAGCGTTCTTCCTTTCACTTTTTTCCTGGTTCCTATTGTCTTTTATCTTTACTCCTTTGTTCTTCTCTTTTCTCATCTTTATTTCCTTTTTTTTTTATTGGTCTTCTTCTTGTTTTGTTCTTATTCTGTATTTTTTTTGTGTTCTTGTATTTCT